TATCCTGGAGAATGTTCCATGTGCCCTTGAAAAGAATGTGTAATCTGCTGCTTTTGGATGGAATGTCCCATATATACATCTGTTAAATCCATCTTGTCTAAGGTGTTGTTTAAGGTCAGTGTTTCCTTATTGATTTTCTGTTTGGATAATCTGTCCATTGATGTAAATAGGGTGTTTAAGTCATCCCCTAGTATTATTGTGTTATCATCAATTTCTCCCTTTATGTCTGTTAATATTTGCTTTACATATTTAGGTGTCCTACGTTGGGTTTATATATATTTACTTTTGTTATATCTTCTTCTGGGATTGATCCCTTGATCATTATGTAATGTCCTTTTTCTCTTTTTACAGTCTTTGTTTTGAAGCATACTTTGTCTAATATAAGTATTGCTACCCTAGGTTTTTTTGCATTTTCTTTTGCATGGAATATCTTTTTTCCATCCCCTCATTTTCAGTCTGTCTGTGTCTTTAGATCTGAAGTGAGTCTCTTATAGGCAGCATACATATGGATCTTGTTTTGGTTTCCAAGCAGCCATTCTATGCCTTTTGATTGGAGCACTTAGTTATTGACATTTAAAGAGATTATCAATCGGTGTGTACTTATTGCCATTTTGTCAATTGTTTTGGGATTTTTAAAGTTCTTTTTTGTTCCTTACTTCTTTTTTTTTTTGCTCCCTTCCCTTATGATTTGATGACTTCCCTTGTGATTTGATCTTTAATGTTATGTTTGTATTCCTTTCTCTTTTTTGTGTGTACATCTATTATAGATTTTTGGCTTGTGGCTACCATGAGTTTTATATATATATATATATATATATATACACTGATATATTGATATATATATATATAGGTGACTTTAAATAGTCATGGATATATATATATATATATATATCCGTGACTATTAAAAGTTGTTAATCTTTTAAGTTCAAACCCATTTTAACAACTCTGCATTTTTACTCCCATGCCCGCATTTAATGTTTTTGACATCATATTTTACATTTTTGTTTTTTATATCCCCTAACTATTGTGGATATAGATGATTTTACTACTTTTATCCATTAACCTTCCTACTAGCTTTATATGTGGTTGATTTATTATCTTACTATATATTTCCCTTTACTAATGAGATTTTTCCTTTCATAATTTTCATATTTCTAGTTGTGGCTTTTTCTTTTCTGCTTAGAAAAGTCCCTTTAACATTTCTTGTGAAGCTGGCTTGGTGGTGATGCTGTCCTTTAGGTTTTTCTTGTTGTAAAACTTTTGATCTCTTCTTCAAATCTGAATGAAAGCTTTGCTGTATAGAGTATTCTTGTTTACAGGTTTTCCCCTTTCATCACTTTAAATGTATCATGTCACTTTTCCTGGCCTGCAGAGTTTCTGCTGATAAGTAAGCTGAGAGCCTATGGAAGTTCCCTTATATGTAATTTGTTGCTTTTCCCTTACTGCTTTTAATATTGTCTCTTCATCTTTAATTTTTGCCATTTTATTATAATGCTTCTCAGTGTGCCACTTTGGGTTGAACCTGTTTGGAACTTTCAGTCATTCCTGGACCTGAATTACTGCTTCCTTTCCCAAATTAGGGAAAGTGCCAGTACTGTGTTCAACTATGTTCTCTGCCTCTTTCTCTTTCTCTCTCTCTATTGTCTTCTGGGACCCCTATAATGCAAATATTAGTACACTTGATGTAGTCCCAGTGGTCTCATAAATAGTTCTATTTCTTTTTTTTCCTTTCTTCCATTCAGCTTGAGTGATTTAACTACTCTGTCTTCCAGCTTGCTGATTTGTTCCTCTGTAGTATCCAATTTATTGTTGATTCCTTCTAGTGAATTTTTAATTCCTTCTAGTGCATTTTTAATTTCAGTTTTGCATACTTCATCTCTGTTTGGTTCTTCTTTACATTTTCTATCTCTTTGTAAAAACTTCTGACTTCTGTCATTTCCCTCTGTTTTGTTTATCCAAACTCTTCTCTCAGGTTCTTTGAACATCTCTATGATAATTAACTTGAACTCTTTATCAGATACATCACTAACCTCCACTTCACTTAGTTCTTCTTCTGGAGTTTTATCTTGGTCCTTCATTTGGGACTAATTCCTCTATCACCTCATTTTGCCCAATTTGCTGTTTTTATTTCTAAGTATTTGGTAGGTTTGTTACATTTCCTGACTTTGAAGAGGTGTCCTTTTGTAGGAGATGTCCTATGTGTACCTGTGGTGCACTCCTCTATGGTCACCAGAGCTACATGCTTTAGGAGTGCCCCATTTTTGTGTTGTGTGGGTCCTTCCATTTTGGCTGACTGACTACTGTGGCTGATCTGGTTGGTGTGGCTAGCCCCTGTCTGGTTGATTGCCAGGCCTTGCCATGGGCAGAGAATGCCAACTACTTGTGGGCAAGGGCTGGTCATGACATGGCTGACCACAGTGTCCTGGGATTCCTGGGGCTAGTGCTGGACCAGTGGCAGGTGGATCTTGGTGCTGGGGTGGGTGGCTGTACGGCCACAGGTGCCAGATCTAGTCTTGCCCTACTCGTGTATGAGGCAAGTTCCAGACATGGCTTGCTGCAGGGTCCAGGGTGTCCCAAAGCTGGTGTCAGCCTGCTCGTGAGTGGGGCTGGATCCCAGGGCAGCTGGCTGAGGGGTTCAAGGTGTCTCAGAGCTGGTGTCTCAGAGCCGAGGCCTAAAGGGTTGGAGTTAGCTTACTAGTGGGCTGCAATGAGGCCTTGAGCATACCAATCCTAATTCCAGCTCACTGGTGGGCAGGCCCGGGTTCCAGGGTCTCTGAATCCTGGGTCCTGCGGGTACCAGAGTTGATGTGTAGGCTTGTTGGTGGGTGGGCCTAAGTCCCAGGGGATCCTGGGGCTGGTGCCTGCTCAATGGTGGGTGAGGCTAGTCCTAGGGCTAGTGCCAGCCCATTGGTCAGTAGAACTATGTCTCAGGGTCTCTGGCTGCAGACCCCTGGTGGCGGGGGGGGTTTCCCAGATTTGGTGTCAACCCACTGTGGATGAGGTTGGGTCCCGATGGCAGACTGTGGGGCCCTGTGATTTCTTGAGGCTAGTGCCAGTGCTTTGGTGGGTGTGGCCAGGTCCTGAGCCCTCTGGTGAATAGGGTTGGGTCCTGGAGCCAGTGTGGACTCAGGGATTCTTAAGTCAACCAGCTTGCTGGTGGGTGAGCCTGTGTCCCCACCTGACTAGCTGCTTGTCTTGAGGCGTCTTAGTTCTAGTGCTCACAAGCTGGTGGGCAGGGACAGGTCTCAGCACTAATTAGCTAGAAGAAGGATTCCAAAGTGGTGCCTGCCATCATCAGTGTCCTTGTGGTAGAATGAGCTCCCCAAAATAGCTGCCACCAGTGTCTATGTCCCCAGGATGAGTTACAGTTGCTTCCTGCCTCTCCAGGAAGCTCTCCAATATCAGCAGGTAGGTCTGACCCATTCTCTTTTCAAGTCACTATTTCTTACCTGTATCCCAGAGCATGTGAGAATTTTTGTGCACATTTTAAGAGTGGAGTCTCTATATCCTACAGCCTTCTGGCTCTCCCCAAGGTGAACCCTCCTGGCCTTCAAAGTCAAATGTCTGGGGGTTTGATTTCCTGGTGCAGAACCCCAAGCTGTAGACCCTGATGTGGGGCTTGAACCCCCTGCTCACTTGTGGAGAAGCTCTGTGATTGTAATTATCATTTCATTTGTGGGCCACCCTCTTAGGTATATGGATCTTGACCATACCACTTCTCTGCCCCTCCTACCCATCTAGTTGCAGAATATCTTTTCTGCTAGTCTTCTTGTCTTTCTCATCAATAGTTGCTCTGTAAATAGTTGTAATTCTGATGTGACCGTGGGAGAAGGTGAGCTCAGTGTCTTCCTATTCCACCATCGTGGCCACTCCTACAGTGGTTCTAAATGAGCTTCATGATTTTTCCTGTACTTTTGATACTGACCAGGAGAAGATATTGTCCCAAGTAGTCCCTGATCCTAAGAAGCTACATGAGGAGTAGAGCTGAATCCAACCTACAAGCTGGAGCCACATCCAGCTGAGACCACTCAAATCACAGTCAAACATAGACCCATGAGAGAAAAGAACCAAATATTTCCAGTTGTAATCACTGAGATTTTGAGGTTGTTTCACTGTAAAAAATGACTAATGATCCATTACCCCTAGACAAATAGCTTTACTTTCTGGGGAGATGGAGATACCAACATCTACCTTATAAGGTGTTAGGATAAAATAAGACAGTGTTCAAGAAAGCACTTTGAAATCTTTCAAGTACAATCTGTGTAAATACAGACTATATCTATACATTGACTTTCTGAAATGGTAGATATTTAAATATTCATTTATGTTAAAATGACATGTTCAAGTGATATGTGCAGGTACATACAGATACATATATACATACATATGCATATATATTCATACTTTATAAAAATTACTCTCCTTAACAACATAAGTTTTTATATTTCAAAGTATTTTAAAGTAACTAATATAAATTACATGGTTAAAATATGATGACCTAATGAATATTATTGAGGTCTCAGTCTCATAAATCATATACTACATTATGCACTTCAAAAGCCACTATAACTTTAGTCCTGTTATGAAAGGAAACAATAACCTTTTCCTAACATGAATTTAGAGTATGCTTAACCAGGCTTGGGGCTCTGGGATTAGGGTGCAGACTAAAGGGCACCTCCTTTGCTTGGAGATGATGATGATTTCTATAGGTCTTAAGTCTTTCACATATTAGGTGATTGAGTCACTTTCTTCCCTACCCAACATGTCTCTGTGTACTGCCCAAGTACAACTGCTAGGATTCTGACAGAACTGATGATTAGGAGCACCACCCTAGTCCTTAATATCTTAGACTCTTTACCACTTTGGTTTCAGACAAACTTGTTCGGTGTAAGAAAAGCATTCCATTATTATTGTTTTAGCTGCCTTTTGGTCCTTTTTAAACAAGTCAATATGAAGATACAATTGAGTCAACTTCAAGAAAAATGACAAAGTTTCATTACCTGCACCATAGACATTAAACTGAGGGCTGTTGGGGGAGAAGCTTTTGTGTCTCTGGACTCGACGACTTGATCGTTTTCCAGGCCACTGAATCGACAGGACTTCTGGTTTGGTTGGCCCTTGTCTTGAACAACAAAGACAATATTTAACCTCAGTGTCAGGGCTTCAGTCTTTTACCTCAAGGAACACATCTTCAAAGATCAGACACAAATATTTTCTAGTGTAGTGAAATGAAAACTTATGAGAACTATGGCTTGACAACATGGTCTAGAGATACCTGGTAATGTGGCATTATAAGTGAAACTAAGGAAAAGAGGGGGGAACATGGCAGAGTAGAAGGACCTTGAGCTCACCTCCTCTCACTAAACTCAATATTTTGTAATAACCTATAAAGGAAAAGAATCTGAGAAAGAAAAAAATATATATATATATAAAACTGAATCATTTTGCTGTACACCTGAAACCAACACAACATTGTAAATCAACTATACTTCAATAAATTATTTTTAAAGTTATTAAGCAGAAAAAAAAGAAAATACATTGGGCTTTTTTTATTCTTGTAATTTAAAAGTTTGAGTAAAAAATCATACCTTGATTTGTAATTTAAGAAAAACTAGTTTCTTTTATTGCCCAAATTATCAATGGAAAGAATGCTTATTTGTACACTTCCATAGTATTTTGTTTAGTTTGAGAACACCTATGGAGTTTGTTTTTCCTTTTATTCAGTTTTTAACTTAACTGTTTAAATCAAAGCTAAATATCCATATAGTTAAAAAGTCAAATAATTCTATAAACTTTTTTCTACAAACAGATTCTCCCCTTCACCATATTGTGCCCTCATTCTCCTTATACAAAGACAACACTTTTCAACAAGTGTTTATTTGTGTTTATCTATATATAACAATACAATCTCTTGGGGAGGTGTGACCAAGATGGTAAAGTAGGGAGACTCTGAGCTCACCTCCTCCCATGGGCTCAACAAACTTACAACAATTTACAGAGCCACTATTGACAGCAACAATCTGAAGACTAAAAGAAAAGATTTTCCACCACTAAAGGAACCACAATGAGATGACTGGGACAAATGGAGATGCAGTATAGTCAAGATCCACACCCCTAGGTAGGCAACCCACAAAGAGAAAGAAAACCACAAATGCAGAGGTTCTTGCCAAGAAGCAAGGGGTCCAACTACCACATTGAGCTCCCAAGCCTGGGGTTCTTTACTGGAAAGATGAGCCCCCAGAACATCTGGCTTTGAAGGCCAGTGGTGCTTGCATACAGGAGACCTGGAGGGCTGTAGGCAACAGAGACTCCATTCTTAAAGGGTACAAACAAAATCTCACACAATCTGAGATCCACAGTGAAAGAGTAATTTAAAAGAATCCTGGGTCATACCCAAGCTCTCCAGCTGATCTTGGAGAGCTTCCCAGAGAGGCAGGAGGTAACTGCAACTCTCCCTGGGGACACAGAGAGCGGTAGCAACCTTTTTTAGGAACCTGCTCTACCACAAGGACACTGGTGCTGGCAAGCACCATTTTGGAATCCTCCCTCTTGCATATTAGTGCTGGGGGTTTACCTGTACTTTAGCAAACTGGCATCCATCCTGGGAACCACAAACCCAGCAGCCAGCCACAAGAGACCCAGCTCTTCCCACCATCTGCCGCAGGACCAGGCCTGTCCCAGTCCCAGGTACCTTGGACCACACAGCTATCTGCCCTGAAGCCCAAATGCTGCCCAACAGTGAACTGGCACCAGCCCTGGGACTCCCCAGACCATGCAGCTAGCCACACTGGGACCTGGCCCTGCCCATCAGCTACTACGAAGCTGGGCCTAGTAGCCAACTGGGCCAGAGAAAAGCCCCACCTGCCAGTACACCCATAGTAATTGGTCCCACTATAACAGAAGGGCCCATGCAGCCCACATAGTGGGTATGCCTAGAGTATAGTTCTGGTGAACAGAGGGAAGTGTTTTGCCAGGCCCAATATGATGTCTCCTATAGAAGTCCACTTCCTCAAGATCAGGAAACATAACTGACCTACCTAATACATAGAAATAAAACAAAGAATTTGGCAAAATGAGGTGACAGAGGAATATATTCCAAACGAAGGAACAAGATAAGACCCCAGAAGAAGAACTAAGCAAAGTGGAGATAAGCAAACTACCCAATAAAGAGTTCAAGCTAATAATCATAAAGAGGCTCAACAAACTCAGGAGAAGAATGGATGCACACAGTGAGAAATTTCAGTTAGATAAAAAAACTAAACACAGCTGAAGAATACAGTAACTTAAATAGAAATACACGGAGGGAATCAAGAGTAGAGTAGATGATACAGGAGGAAATGGATCAGTGCCTGGAAGACAGAGTAGTGGAAATCACCAAGGCTGAGCAGAAAAAAGGAAAAATAATTTTAGAAAATGAAAATAGTTTAAGAGACCTCTGGGACAACATCAAGGTAACTAACATTACCATTACAGAGGGCCCAGAAGGAAAAGAGAAACAGAGGAAGAAAACTTACTTGAAGAAATAAAGGCTAAAAACTTCCATAATCTGAGAAAAAACAACAGACATCCAAGTCTAGTAAGAATAGAGGATCCCAAACAAAATGAGCTCAAAGAGATCCACACCAAGACAAACTGTAATTTAAATGGCAAAAGATTATAGATAAAAAGAGAATCTTAAAAGCAGCCAGAGAAAAGCAACTAGTTATACACAAGGGAACTCCCATAAGACTATCAGCTGACTTTTCAGCAGAAACTTTTCAGGCCACAAGCAAGTGGTAAGATACATTTAAAGTGATGAAAGAAAAAAACTTACAATCAAGAAGACTCTACCCGGCAATGCTATTATTCATATTTGAAGGAGAGATAAAGAGTTTTACAGACAAGCAAAACCTAAGAGTTCAGCATCACTAATCTAGCTTTACAACAAATGTTAAAGGGACTTTTCTAAGTGAAAAAGGAAAGACCACAACTAGAAATATGAAAATTATGAAAAGAAAATCTCATTGGTAAAGGAAAATATGCAGTAAAGGTGGTAGATCAACCACTTATACAGCTAGTAATAAGGTTATAGGACAAAAGTAGTAAAATCATTTATAACCACAATAAGTAGTTAAGAGATTTACAAAAGAAAAGGATATAAAATATGAAGTCAAAAACATTAAATGTGGCAGGGGGAGTAAAAATGCATTGTTGTTAGAATGTGTTTCAACTTAAGAGATCAGCACGTTTAAATAATCACAGATATATATAGGTTATTATATATAAATGCCATGGGAACTACAAACCAAAAATCTATAAAGAGATATACACACACAATAAAGAAAGGAATCCAAACATAGCATTAAAATAGTCATCAAATCAAAAGGGAAAATAGCGAAAGAGCTAAGTTACTAAAAAGAACTATACAAAACCCCCAAACAATTGACAAAATGGCAATAAGTACATATCTATCAATAATTACTTTAAATGTAAATGAACTAAATCCTCTAATGAAAACACAGAGAGTGGCCTAATAGATTAAAAAAAAAAAAAAAAGACCTGTATATGCTGTCTACAAGAGACTCACTTCATATCTAAAGATACAGATGCTGAAAGTGAAGGAATGGAAAAAGTATTCCATGCAAATGGAAATGAAAAGATAGTTGGGTTAGCAGTACTTACATCAGACAAAATAGACTTTAAACAAAGATTGTAAAAAAGAGACAAAGAAGGACATTACATAATGATAAAACAATCAATTAAATAAAAAGATATAGCAAATGTAAATGTATACACACCCAACATAGGAGCAATTAAATACATACAGCAAATATTAACAAACATAAAGGGAGAAATTGACAGTAATACAATAATACTAGGGAACTTGTAAGAGCTGGTTCTTTGAAAAGATAAACAAAATTGATAAACCTTAATCCAGACTCATCAAGAAAAAAAGGAGGGCCCAAATCAATAAAACCAATAAAATCAGAAGAAAAAAAAAGGGGGGAAGCTACAACTAACATCACTGAAATACAAAGGACCACTAAGAGATTACTAGAACAAATACTTGCCAACAAATTGGGAAACCTAAAAGAAATGGACAAATTCCTAGAAACATACAGTCTCCCAAGTATGAATCAGGAAAAAATAGAAAATATAAACAGACAAATTACCAGTAATAAAATTAAATCAGCAATCAAAAAAAACCAAAAACCTCCCAAATAACAAAAGTCTAGGACCACGTGGCTTCACAGGTGAATTCTAGCAAACACTTAAAGAAGAATCAACACCAATCCTTCTCAAACTGTTCTAAAGATTTGCAGAGGAAGTTAACCTTCTGAACTCATTCTATGAAGCCAGCATCACCATGATACCAAAACCAGCCAAAGACACCTTGAAAAAAGAAAATTACAGGCCAATATCACTGATGAACATAGATGCAAAAATCCTTCACAATGTATTAGCAAACTAAATTCAACAAAAAACTCATACACCATGATCAAGTGGTATTTATCCCAGGTATGTAAGGATAATTCAATATCAAAACAATCTATGTGATACACTACATTAAGAAATTGAAGAATAAAATTCATATAATCATCTCATAGATGCAGAAAAGTCTTTTAACAAAATTCAACAACCATTTACGATAAAAACTCTCCAGAAAGTGGATATAAAGGGAATATTCCTCAACAAAGTAAGGCCATATATGACAACCCACAACTAACATCATACTTAATGGTGAAAAGCTGAGAGTATTTCCTCTAAGATCAAGAGCAAGACAAGGATGCCCACTCTCACAACTTCTATTCAATATAGTATTGGAAATCCTAGCCAAAGCAATCAGACAAAAAGGGAATCCAAATTGTAAAGAAAAAAGGAAAACTTTCACTGAAGATGACATGATACTATATATAGAAAATCCTAAAGATGCCACCAGAAAACCTACTAGAACTAATAAATGAACTTAGTAAATTTGCAGGATAAAAAAAATACTATACAGAAATCTATACACTAACAATGTTTCTATATAATAACAACAAACTATCAGAAAGTGAAATTTAGAAAACAAGCCCATTTATTACAATTGTATCAAAAAGATTAAAATTTCTAGGAATAAATCTAACCAAAGAGGTAAAAGTA